GGGGGGGGGGGGGGGGGGGGGGGGGGGGGGGGGGGGAGAGAGAGGACATATTTTTAACGGGCCGCAAGAATTTGGCACATAACGGTTGCTGGGGCAGATTCGTTAGTTGGTGGCAGTGTTTCTTGGTGGTTCTCGGGCGAGCGGTGGATGTTTTTGAGGGTTGTTGGAGTGCTTTTGTCATTGGCGGCAGGCCTCGCTGGAGGTCTTGTCAGACAGTTTTCCCCGTTTTTCAAGTAACAGTATCTTAGTGATAAAATCACGCCGTAACTGAAATTGCCCTTCAAATTAGCCATGGATGCGCATCACGCTGAGTAGCGCGAAACCCATGCCTCAGAAACGCGGGAAGGCACACCTCCTTTTTCCTCGTCTAGAAGCATTTTGCGAGATTCCAGGCCATTTTTCACGAAATTTAGCCTGTTTACAAAATTTAGGCAATTCCTTTGGATCTCCCCTCCCTTCCCCCTTCCTCGTTCCCGTTTCCTTTATCCGCCTTTTGTACCCTACTCCCTTGTCATCAGTATGTTTTTGTTGTGTTTTGTTAGTTTCCGGTTTATTTTTGCGTGCATTTCAGGAGAATGGCGGCGAAGGAAGATGGTTTGGCGGAGGAGCAGAACATCGACAAAGCCAAGGACACCTCGAAGAGCAAGGACTGGGCTGCTGCCGATCTCGTGAAAGTTCGTTTTCTCTTCTACTGCAGAACAGGAAGTGTGCAGTCGGGATAATTTCGCACAGGGCAGAAGCGTGGGCTGCTCCTAACAGCTGAAGCTTCTTCATAATTTAATCAAAATGGCATACTTTGGCGAAAATAGCATTCTTTTCCTGTTTGATTGAGGTGTTTCTTGAAAAAAACTTTTTTTTTTCGCTTTTCCCCCTCCTCCTTTTGGCGCAGCGCAGCACAAGTCTAACTTTTTCGGCTAATATTTGAGTTGCTGCGGAAAAATTTACGTCCCTTCCGGCTGAATTTCAGGCCGACTTGTACGCATCTTTTTGAATTTTAGCTATGCAGCGATTTCTTCTCCTCTCTATTTATGCAGAAATGGAAAGAAGAGAAAGTGACGAGGCTCTCTAGTGGGTGCGAATGAGGGAACCTACTCGGGAATAACTCGAATAAGTAGCTATGCGCACAGAATAGCCGGTGCGGTTATGCGTTTTGCGCTGTTCTGTCCAGCGAACGTTTGCCTGTTAAAAATAGGCGAA